GTTTAATCAGGTCATTGGGCTTGGTTGGAGCAGACACCTTTCCCCACAGAGCCATCTTGCCAACCTTATTTTATTCTTTCCCTTATTTTAATTGTGTGTGTCTGTGCGTCAGTCTGTCTGTCTGTCTGTATGTGAGCTGGAGTTATGGGCTCCTGGGAGCCACCTGACCATCACCCCTCCCGCTGCCTCATGGTTCCTGCCACATTTCCGACCTTGACCACGGTCTATATGTTCATCTGACCCTGGCAGCCAGAGCCCTGTCTGCTCCTGTGTCAGCTCCCCCAGAACTGGCCAAAGCCCTTCCCCATTGCCAGTCAGGGATCTGAGCAACAAAATGAAAGTCTCAGCCTGTGCACGGGATCCACTGGGAAATGTGACTGCGTGAAAAATATACACCTGTGTGCTCGGGGCACTGGAGATTAGGGGTGCTATGTTAGGGGTGCTGTGTGGGCTCAAAGGGGCCAGTCAACCTGCTTCTCATCATTCTAGCCATAGCAACCAAGCCCGGCCAGAGAAAGGAGCTCTGTGGACAGATGTTCTATATTAGAAGGGGAGGCGTTTTATAGGTGGTTGAAATAGTCTGGGCTTTTGCAGACTTTTTTCCTGTATACTAAAGGACCCACATGCCCCTCCCCACAGAGGTTTCCACCCATCCAAAGTCTGCATCCCCCTCTGTTTCCTTTGGCTTGGCAAGCTGCCCAGGCTGGTTGCCCTGCACAGCTCATGTGCCCCCAAGCATCCACCCATTGGGAAGACCCTTCAGCATGCAAACTTTTAGGTAGAGTCTCAAACGTTTCAGCCTGAAACTCGCTATGGAGCCCAGGCTGGCCTCAAACTCATGATCTTCCTGTCTCTGCCCCCTAAGTTAGAGGTGTGTATCACCACGCCAAGTTTAGCAGAAGCTTGTTGAAGGGCCGGGCTGGGCTAGGGGGAGAGACATTCAGTGGTAGAGTTCTTGCCCTGGTTCCCATTTCTAGCAAAAACTAAAAGAGCTGGAGGTGGGTGAAGGGACAGAATGGCTCAGCCGTGGGTACTGGCATTGGCTTCTAGGATTTCGCTGCACAAATGTCAGTCCCTTAGGAGGGCAGGGAACATTGCGAGGTCCCTGAGCCAGTGCTTCGGCTGTCCCACAAGCAGCAAGGAGCCACCCCTGCACTGAGCAAGGCTTGAGACAAGCCTTTCTATTTCTTAGCTCTGAAGGCCCATTTGCAATGGTGGCAAGGAAAAACTTGGAAAAAAAAAAGACTCTCCGCCTTCATTGCTTGGGACTGGATGAAAAATAGACTAAGTTCAGCGGTGAAGAAGCCACCAACTGCATCAGAACCATGCATGTAGAACTAGCTCAGGCAGTCGACTGTCTGTGAATGTGCATGCTGGCACACGCATGTGAATGGGAGCATGCATGTCAGGGCACACACACACACACATAGCAGTGACCCGAAAAGGACTTCAAATTTCTCCTGTTGGAGTATCTCCCCGACCCCTGGAGCTTGCTGTTTTTCAGCTAGGATGTCTGGCTAGCTGGCAAGCCCCAAGGATCTGCCCTGCCCACTTCCACCTCCAGCCCTGGGATTATAGTAGCACATTGCCACAACCATCTTTTATGTGGATACTGGGAACCCAAACTCGGGTCCTCATGTTGCATGTATGATTGTGATGGAATATCATAATCAAAGGCACCTTGGGGAGGAAAGGATTTACTTCACTTACACTTCACATCACGGACCATCATTGAAGGAAGTCAGGGCAGGAACCTGGAGGCAGGAGCTGATGCAGAGGCCCTGGAGGGGTGCTACTTACTGGCTGGCTCTCCCAGGCTTGCTCAGTCTGCTTTCTTAAAGCATCCAAGACCACCAGCCCAGGGACAGCACTACCCACAATGAGCCGGACCCTCCCACATCAATCACTAATTAAGGAAGTGTGTTACAGGCTTGCCTAATTTGTCAATGACTCGAGCTTGCGTCAAGTTGACATAAAAACTAGCCAGCACACACAGCAAGGGCCCTTACCCACTGCAACATCTCCCCAGTCCCTAGCCAGCCTACTTCCAACCCCAAGGCCAGCTACCTCTCTTCACTGTCTCTAATCACAAACCAGGAGAGCTGGAAGGCAGCTCAGCCACAAGGCTCCAGCAGGCCCTACAAGGGGGTTGTTTCTTGCACCTCCCTAGCTGTGCCCAGCCCGAGCAGGGCTGAGTCATGGAAAAGTTAGTTCTGCAGGCAGGCGCTCACCTCTCCCATTGAGCCCACAAAGGCTCCTTTCACGTTGTCAGGAGGGGAATAAAAAAAACGTGTGGGGCCCTCCGCCCAAGGCTTGGACGGGAAATCTCAAACTTCTTTCTGGAGTTGGATTCTGCACCTCCTGCCTCAAGAAACAGAAGAGAGAAAGAAAGGGGGAACGTATCCCACATCGCAAACTTCTTGTTGAAGCCAGGCCAGCCTACTAAGTTGCACACCCTTAGCCAATGCTCCCCACCCCTAGCTTCCTGGGAACTGGGGGTTGGGGGGATTGAGACAATTATAACTCTTCCCTGGATTGCTGATGCTGGAGGAAGCCCGAGGCTCACGGGGACACTAGGACTACAAAATCCACATCCTGAAAGTGGACTAGGTAGAAACAGGGTCATTGTCTATCTCGGGCTAGCTTCTGAATCTGTCAGTCCCTCTTGAAATTGCCTGGCAGGGTGTTTGTTTGTTTGTTTTCTTCCCCCTGTGACTCCAGCTCAGACCCAACAGGGAGCATCCTGTGTTGCCATGCATGAGTTACTTATATATATCGGGCCCAATTTCCTCCTGCTTCGAAAGGGCACGCGGCACCCACTTCCCTGGACCATTTATGAAATTAGGGTGTGTACAGGACACGTGTGAAGGCCCATTGGGGTTCTTGGTATCTTTCCACCTACTACCTGCCCTCTGTCCCAAACACACACCTATGGAACATTGGCATAAGCCCTCCTGGTCAGTCAGCTGGTCTGGCATCTGAACTCGATAGGATGAATAGCTGATCTCTGGGTTAGTGACCTCTGATTTGAAACAGGGATAGAAGAGGCTGTGATTTTTACAAGTCCTTAGCTTTTCAAGGTTTGGGGGTGTTAACCTTACACGGAGAAAAAGGCCAAAGCCAAAAGAATTAGCCCCTGGAAACTGGAGAAGCTTGGAGGTGTAGTGTCCCATATTAGCCACTAGGCGGCTCCAAGGCTAATAGATGAGGACAGAAGCTACGAAGCCTGTTGGGGTCTCCCTAGTTGGAGTCTTCCACATAGGCCTTGGCAACTGTTGGTTACCAAGTCTGACTCTCTGCTACCGGGATATCTTTCCTGTTGGAAGATGGGGAGAAATGGTCACTGCAGTAGGATGGGATCTAAGGATGGCAATGCTCAGTCCTTCCGACAGGCCTTTAAGAAGAAGAATGGAGACTGTGGGGAGTCTGCTCACTGCAGCCTTTGGCCAAGCCTGTCCTCCACCTCTCTCCTGCCTTCTTGCCAGAGTGGAGTGGGGTGGGGTGGGGTGGGAAGAGAAATTAGGTCTGGATTGAATTCCTCCCTCCTGCACTTCCTGGCTGGGTAACCTGGGAAATGGGATGACAAGGTCCCCAAGGCGAGGTCAGCCGGAGGGTGGAATGTCAGAACAGAACCGCAGGCGGTCCATGCAGGAGAGTGACTTCCTAGCCCCTTCATCCCTTTTGCTCCACCAGAAACTGGGAGTTCTCAGGCCTAGTCTCTCCCCAGAACCACAGTAGTTGGCAAATAAGGAGGTGATTCCCACCCCCTCCCCAAATCAGCACTTCTCAAGGGGACTTGCTCACACCAAGGCGGGGAGTATTAAAAGCAATTAGTTCCTCTTGCGTCTAGGGCCTGCTGGATCAATCTCCAGGACTGAGGCCCAGGACTCCCGGCCTGAACACGTCCAGAGCTGGAAAAGGCTGCCCCAGATTACAGGGCAGGCTCCCTGGCTGTCTCTCCTTCTCCCGCCCAAGGATGTGCAGAGGGGGCGGGCGGCAAGTCTCATCAGCGCTTTTAACTGGGCCTGCCTGTCATGACTCACCTCCTAGACTTCCCGCAACAGGCAACTCTAAATAGCTGGGGACCCACCCTCCCAACAGGGAGACGTTCTTGTAAGGGGTGGGTAAGAGGTTACAAGGTGGGTGCCCAACAGGGCAGCGGAGGAGGGGGGGACACTCAGAGAGAGTGGGTCCCTGCATGAACTGAACAGTGGCACAGGTTGAAGACGTGTTGTTTACAGGCTTTTCTTATTAAGGAAATTGCTGTCAGTCAAGGTAATTCTAGCCCAGATAAGCAATAAATATGCTCCCAGCTAATCTTACAGGGATTTTATTGGCACCTGGGGTCAGAGGTTCCTTTACCCTGCTCCCCTTTCTCTCAAAGTAAAATCCTACTCCCCAGAGGTCCCTCCACCTCCGCAACGTGGGAGATTCCACGTTGGTACAACTTCAGATGTACACTTTTCTGAAGAAAAAAGAGGACCAGGCAATGATGAAGCTTGACTTCCTGGTCCTACCTGAAGGGGGGAGGGATGGGGGGGGGGGGGGGAGGAGTGTGGCGGGGGGAGAGAGAATGACCAAGTGACCTGACATGAACCCTTGGCGACCCGGTTGCATCAAGGCATACGCGAGTTTCCTCTCGGCTTGTCCCGCACGCGCTCAGGGGTGGTCACCTGGCCCGGGCTGGGAGGAATGTCTGATAGAGTAAGCCGGCTTGCCTGAGACGGTTCCAGCGTGTTCGAATTCCAGCTGGGAGCCCTCGGGGAGTAGGGCGGCAAGTCCCGGCTTGCAGGAAAGAGAAGCCAGTCCCAGGAGGGTGCGAGTCGCAGCGAGACCGGGTACGCGCCCAGGCGCGTGCCCCGCCACGGCGCAGGGGGAGGGGAAGTCGCCGCAGCCACTCAGAGGCATGGTAGTGAAGCCTCCCAACAACTTTAACTGTCAATCAGACTTAATGGGGTATTAAAAAAAAAAAAAAAGGAGGGGGCGCCCTTTCGGTGGGTCCACGCCGTAGCTGCCCCGCGAGCGAAGGAATACGACGGTGCAGACTAGGGCGTCCTATCCACGCGTGCTCCACAAGCCGGCCCCGTCCAAGTTGAAAAGGACAAAAAGAAGGCAATAAATGCTAAAGGGGAGAGAAGGAGAGAGAGAGAGAAAGCCAGACCGAGCGGCAACTCCCAGCCCGGGCTGCAAGAGAAGGAGGCGGGAGCGGGAGAGAGCGGGCGCGCGCGAGGGCGAGCCGTGCACGGGAAGAAACTGACACCCGGACCCCCCACTTCTCCTGCACGGTGCTGGCAATCAGATCGCGTTTAAGCAATTTCCTGAGCCCGAGAATAGCAATGAGTCGGGAGACTTTGGCGGACTGAAATTGGGAGCTGCAGTCACTCCCCAGGTTTTGTGTGTGTGTGTGTATGGTGTTTTTTTGTTTGTTTGTTTTTGTTTTGTTTTGATTTTTCCTTTTCCTGGAGGAAAGTTGGGGAGGGCGCTACAATTGAGAAACAGCTTTTTGTTTGCTTGTTTTTTTTAATCTTGCACTTTGAAACCGCGGACTGTAGCAGGGTGCGCTCTTGTGGTTGGTGCTTTTTTTTTTTTTTTTTGGGTTTTTACTCCCCCCCCCCCCCGCCCCGCGCGCGCCTTAACTCCTCTGTGGGTTTGTAAACATTACCTGTGAATTGCCCAGCCGAAACGGCTGTTGGGGCAAGAAACTTCTTGTTAGAACTTCCCACCCCCGGCCTTCCCTCCACCCCTCTCACTGTCCCAATCTTGTGAGACGCTCCCCCCTCCCGCTCCGCCGGACAGAGCTTATCCCCCCCCTACCCCTTTTCCTCGCCCAGTGCTCTGCATCTGGAAAGAGATCAGTTCAAGAGTGCCCAGGTGGGACGCCTCTCTTTTGCCTTATTCAGCTTATTTATTATTATTTGGGGTGTTTTCTTTCTTCCTTTTTTTAATTCCTGTTTTGCTTAGTCCGGAGAGTTTCGTCCGCCGCCTCCTACCTCCTCCCCCTGTGCCCGGCTCCGCCGCGCGGAGGATGGTGTGGAAATGGCTGGGCGCGCTGGTAGTGTTCCCTCTGCAAATGATCTATCTGGTGACCAAAGCAGCCGTGGGACTGGTGTTGCCCCCCAAGCTTCGGGACCTGTCCCGGGAGTCAGTCCTCATCACCGGCGGTGGGAGAGGCATCGGGCGCCACCTCGCTCGGGAGTTCGCAGAGCGTGGCGCCAGAAAGGTACGCGGCGTGGGGGCGGGGTGGCACTGCGACACCTGGAAGTGGGTGCCGAGGGTGAGGGGACTCTGGCGCGCGCGCTTGGGGTTGGGGGTGCTCCCACCTGCTGCGGCTGCGGCAACCAGCGCCAACAAGCTGAGCGTCACCGGCCCCTCACCCCTTGCATCACCTGGAACTGCTAAACTAGCCGGTTTCAACCTTTGTAAATTTCCCCGGCACAGTCTTTTTGGCAAAGTCCTAAACTGATCGGTTCCCCTGGGATTGGTATCTGACCGACTATGTGCCCCCACCCACCCCCAGACTTAGGACACCCACCCATTCCTCCTCGTGACTTCATCTCTAAGGTGTTGTGCCCCCTACACTTCCCCCTTCTGCCCGCACCCCGTTGAGCGCGGGGTGTGCGCGCCCCTGGGTAGAGCTGGAAATCCTGACTGCTAAGGTTGTGCCTGATATTTTGCTTGGCAGCTCGCTGCCTAGTCCAAACCTGGGCGGCTACAGCTCTGCAGGGACGTGAGAGGAGTACACGTTCGGGTTTGAAAAAGGGGGAGCTGGCTTGGATGGTCTAGCCTGGCAGAAAAACTGGGAGGCCCAGGTGTTTCAGAGCCGGACAGAGGGGTGTGAGGGTAACCAACCGCTGATAAGGACCCTTCAACCTTGATCCTCTCGACCCCCTCAGCAGAGGGGATCCTTCCCCCACTGGATTAGGAGGTGGCACTATGCCGCCGCCGCTGTCCACTGCTCTCGCTATGTGGGTGACTGCAGCTCCTCTTGCTCCGGGGACGTGCAGGAGAGTATTGGAGGGAGAGCCAGCTGTCACCCAACTTGCAACTGCAGACCAGGCTGACCCATCCAGTGGCAAGAGCAATGGAGAGGGATTTGAGACCGACCGGCAGACCCGGGCTGTCTCCAGCCGGCTGGCCAGGGAAGACGAAGAACAAACTAGGGAATTAGTTTGAAATTTAAACTGTTGCTAAGGAGGGGGTAGCAGGACTAGGCAAGCCAGCTGATCTGACGTGGAGCTGCATACCTTGGGGATTAGAGTAAATATGCTCTGTGGAAAGCCAAACCTTCTTGTAATTCCAGGTTGCTTTTGTTTTGTTAAATACTGCCGAGATTTACAATTCCTTCGGTGGCTGGGACTGAACTTTGGAGTCTGAACTATCAGCCCAAGCTGATTGCCTCTTAACTCTTCCCTGACTGGGTTGTCCTAGCACAGCTGGGGTGGGGGTCATCCAGCTGTCCCGGGCTCCTGAATCTCCTTGGGTGGTTTGGACAGCTGCTTAACCTTGCCTTTAAAAGGGGGCGTTTTTTAACCCTTGGACTCACTGAACTAAGGGGAAGTAAAAGTTGTTCTCAGCAGTTTCTCTTGGGGAGTGGTGGGGGTGTCCCTGTGGAAGGCTTCCAAAGCCCTTGGTGGAGGGGGACCAGGAGGGCAGAAGGGTTACTTGGTGACAGTTGCTTTGGCTTGGCACTAGTTGGTCGTCTGCGTCCCTGTCTCATCTGACTATTCCAGCTGGCCCTGTCCTGCCGTCCCTTTCACTCTCTGTGCTTGGCTGCAGTAGGCTTACGAGGAAAGCTTTGTCAATCTGGAAAAACTTGACCGACTGTAAACAATCCTGGAGTGAAGGCAGGAGAAGGCCCTGGGGTGTGTGTGTGTGTGTGTGTGTGTGTGTGTGTGTGTGTGTGTAACCATGTAGAGTAGATCCAGCAGGTTCATACCCTGGAAGGCACAACCCCGCCTACACGCTTGGAAAGGACAAGCTTGCCCAGGCTGATGAGAAATAGGCCTTTAATTGGTGACAGGGTCACCCAAAACAAAATCCGGGGGGGGGGGGGGCCGGGGAAACTGCCGGTGCCATTCACTTGGCTGGCAGGATAACCCCCTCCCCCCAGGGCTCTCTGGAATCATAACTCTCTGAAGCTAGTGGAGAGCCACTGCACTCAGTAAGCCGGTCTCCAGCTATCCCCGTGGGAATGTGCACTCCAGGCCCTCTTGTCTTCCTACATCTGGGGTCAGTGCACGGACCTGAGGACAATCCCCAGAGCCAGGAGTCCTTAAATCCCAGAGGGCTTGGCAGCAAAGAGCTGAGTGCTGTGGGGGTTGGGAGTTTGCAGTTGAGTTGCTGGGGGACAGGTGTGAACTGGGGGTGGCCCGGGAGTATGGGAGGGAGGTAGAGAAGGCCAGTGGTGTGCAGTGAGGTGGTCACCACCAGCAGCATTGGTTAAGGGAGAGGCTAACGCTGAGAGCGCTCCCTGCCTGAATACCTGGAGAAATTGAATCTAAGAGAGATTCCCCCCGGTGGGAAAGAAAGGCAGGCAGTTTCTGCAAACAGCAAGCCTGTCCAGGAGGGGGCGGGACAACCCAGTTTCCCATAATGACCTTGAGTTAAGTAGGATTTGCAATATTTGTAGAGCGTGGGGAGCCTACCAAGCTGACCCAAATAAAGAGTTTTCTTTTTTAAAAAGAGATTTACTTTGTTTATATGTGTGTGTGCCCGTACGTGTGTGCACACGCTCACACCCGCATGCACACACATACATACAGGTGTCTCTGGAAGCCAGGGGATGTCTGATCCCCTAGAGGTGGAATTACAACTTGATGTGGGTGCTCAGAACTGAACTCTGGTTGGTACTCTGCAAGAGCACCAAATGCTCCAAACCACTGAGCATCCCTCCAGCCCCTAAGAGTTCGTCTTAAAAGAACACAGATGTAAAAAATTCAGAAGTTCTTTATCAGGAAACAGCTCTCCCTACCTACAAGACACCAAGTTGAGCAGAGACAGAAACAGCAACCCTTAGGAATTGGGGGGGAGCCCCTTGTTGGGTCATCTCCTGAGCAAACCTTTTTACATTTTCTGTGTCTCTGTAATTGCTCCCCACAAAGCAGTGAAAACTCAGGCTTGTCCTCAAGTCTGCAAGTTTGTCACGGTTTTAGCATGACCTCTTGATGGAAGCAGGAGAAGATTTATGAGGGGGCTGTTTGGAAGTATTTGGACACTCCATATCCTTTGGTCCAGTTAGAGGCAAGCATCCAGACCATGACTGAAGACTTACAGAAGTGGGGGCCCTGGGACCAGCATCCCCACTCAGGACCCAACGTCCCATTTCAGGAAGGCACTGCAAGTAGCTTGGGGTTGCATCTGTCTCAGTATCCGTGCATTTACAGGGCATGTGACGTGAAGCAGCCAGCAGGGCCTGGCCCTCAGGGCCATCCCGTGCCCCCCACCTCCTTTGTGTGCCATCCCTTCCCACTCCCAGTGACTAAACTGGCCCAAGCTCACCATTCCCTTGACTAGAGCCCAGTTCAAAGCTTGCTTACAGCATCCAGCAGGTGGTGGCCCAGCTCTGGGCTGGTAGCAGGGCTGGAGGCTAGGTAGAGATACACTAAAGAGTCCTGAAGACTTGGCATCACAGCAGGATGTCACAGCAAGGGCACGCGTTAGTGGTGGTGGCTTCTGGTGGCGTTTGTCGTGACTTAACCACAGATCAGGTAGTTGAATGGCAAGTGACTCGTGGGGCTTGTCACCGACTGTCTCAGCCCCTCTTGCTGGTCATCAGATCTCTCTGAGTGAAGAAAGATTGGGAAGGTACACTGTGCCCCCACTTAGAGGACACTGCACACCCACTTCCAAACTTCTTCACGAGCCCCCAGCTTGCTGCTGCTGACCGTCCACACTGAGAAAGCAAGCTCTGCTGTACTTACGATAACGTGCCCTTCTACCTAGGGGAGGGGTCCGGTTGTCACATCCCTGGACGTCCTTCCTAAAGCCATGTTGCCACCAGCAGAGTCATGCAGTTAATGGTTCTTCCTTCCAACTGGGGCGTTCCAGACTAGAGAGACGTCACAGCAATTAAGAACACTGATGAATCCCTCTCCCAGAGAGCCTGGGTTCAATTCCCAGCATCTTCATGACAGCTCACAACAGTCTCTAACTCCAGTTTCTGGGATCCCATGCCCTCTTCTGGCCTCTGCGGGCGCTGCTACATGTGGTACATATACAAATAGACAAAACATCCACACATGTAAACAAAGATCTCAAAAACGGGGGAAGGGTTTCTACCAACACATAACACAGGAGAAGAGAGCCTCCCAGCATGCCCTCACCAGGACCTTGGGCAGTTATGGTTTGCCATTGTCCTCGTTTCTCAGGGCAGGGTACTGTAGGGAAGTATAGCCAGGTGTATTCCCAACCTTCATTCTCAACTTTAATTTTAATGTACCGTGAGTCTCTGGAAATACATGCCGGACATCCGCTTTGGCTCCTGGCTTCTGATGGGACTGGGATCTGTCAGCCTGGCTATGATCACTTGTGTGATTGGTGGCACGAATAACTGAAGTTTCACACAGGATCGTGGTCGCAAGCGTGATCGCCACTGTACACGACTGTCATCCCACACAGGACTGTAGCACTATTATATGTGGCTGTGGCAACATCTGTAACATTGTACCATTCATGGCCACAGGGCGTTTTTGTATTGTTCTTTTCAGTGGCCTTGATGGCCCTTGGAGGACTTGTAGCTTGTGTACAAAATAAAGGTGCAGTTGGGAGCCAGCTTTGAACCACTGATTCTCAGTTTCACAACCAGAGTTTCTCCTTCTGGCCTGCTAATCTCAGCCCCACCCAGCTGTCTCCCTCGGGGTCACAGGGAGGTCAGGCAAGAGTTGTTAGATCCTGGGGCCTGGTCTACAGAGGGTTCTGGGGGGGGGGGTGGTGAGGAGTCAACAGGATGCAGGCAGGATGTGGATAAACCCACTTCTTCAAAGAACCTTGTTGGGGTGCATTTAAATACAATGGGTGGGATGCTTGCCAAAGGGTCAGGCTGGCAGCCATCAGGGTTAATTTTAAAGCCAGGCTTGGCAACCCAGGCTTATTATTCCAAGTCTTGAGAGCTAAGGCAGTCGGATCAGTAGCTCAAGGCCAGCCTCTGCTACCTAGCAGAGTTCTTTTTTTATCTTGTTTTGCTGGTTTTTAAGATTTAATTATTTGTTTTATGAGCATGTATATATGCCTGAGTGTAGTAAGCGTGCCACCTGTCTGAAGGTATCTGTGGAGGCCAGAAGAGGACGTCAGATCCCCTGAAATTATAAGGGTTTGTGAACTTGCCAGTGTGGGTGCTGGGAACAGAACCCCAGGTCTCTGCAAGAGCCCCAAGTGCTCTCTGAACTGCTGAGTTATCTCTCCAGACCCCATAGCAGGTTTGGGATCATCTTTAGCTTCTTGAAACTATCAATCCCCACCCCCCCAAAAGGAATGGCCATCTGGCATAGTGACTCAAAGATGCAGGGCCTGCTGGTAAAGGACCACCCCTAGGTCCTAGCAGCCCTAGAAAGCCAGGCTGTCCATCATTTCTCAATATTCCAGTTAAACAGACAAGCGCCAGCAAGTCCATCTTTAGGGGACTGATATGGGCTTGACCTTTTAAGGAAAGGATCGGGGATATACATGAAAAGTCCTGGTCACAAAAAAAAAAAAAGAAAGAAAGAAAGAAAGAAAAGAAGAAAATAGAAAGAAAGGGAAAAAAAGGAAGAGCATAAATGTCTCTCTTTAGGTCACAGGGTGAATCATGAATCATCTTTCCCTCCTGTCACATCTGAGGCCACCATGCTTAGTCTCTGCTAAGAACTGATCTGTGACCTTTGAGCCTGCAGGGTGTTGAGGTGACTCTGGAGGGAGGGCAATCTTGGGGAGACTCCTGGAAGGAGCTGACTGCTCAGGGGAAGGCGGTGAAGTCCCAGCTCCTCCTAGACGGGCTGTTGTAGGACTCTAGTAGAGTCACCGTATCTAGGGTAAACATTGGAAGGAAATGGTTGTTTTCCATTGTATCCAGGGTAAACAGAAGGACTCGCTCTTTCCTAGAAGTACTTTGACCTTGAAGAAATCACTG